TTCCCTCTCTCGCTGTGTCTCTCTCTGTCAAATAAAAAAATAAATAAATAAAAAATAATAATAAAATAAAATAAAATAAACCCTACTAGAGAAGGCATTTTGGCAACCATGAGGAAGGAAGAGCTACTGGCCATTGCATCTAGTTGCTTGATTTACCCAAAGATCCAACTATGTAAATTGGCCTACTTTATTACTAAAGAGAACTTGATTTATTCATGTACACAAATTTATTAGTTGAAAGGAGTGGAACAGGAAAGGTGTATCATTGACTACACCATAGTAACCCCCACAGTTCAACCTAAGGAATGATATGAGTTCAGCATTTCTCTTGATTTCTAGGTGAGAAACACACGTGTCATACCAGGTAACTTATTCACCCACTGGACTACATTTTCATTCAGCCTCGGCACCAAACAAATGAAGGTTCACAATTCATTAACTGGAGGGAAACAAGAAAGAGTTAATGTGTATGAAATGTACATGAACACGCCTGAGGGGCAGTTGCTTCATTTTCTGAAGCTGTGTGCACGACTACATATTTTGGCAGTTTGGGCTTTCTACCTTGATGCATGACTTTGCCCAATATAGGTTTCCACCTCATCACCTGCTGGAAATTAAGCAATTGGTTATAGCTACTTTGCTTGAAAAATGAGCTAATTTCTAGTTACTGTGGCCCCAAACCATAGATTAAAGCCAAGTAAGATGCCATGGGCTTTACACTTTGGCTAAATCATCTCCTCTAGCTCTGGTGTAAGAAAGGAATGGAATTCCATCCTGCTTTAGATACCAGCCTGACATCTTTCCACTGTTTCCACAATCAGAATGAATGTAAATGGAGAAGAACGAACCACAGGAGTTGAAGGAACCACTAAGTAAAATGGACCATCTACATTTCCATAAAAGACATCACTTAATCCATTCCCCTTAAGAATGCCTACTCTTTATTAAACTTTTCTCGGGCGCCTGGGTGGCTGAGTTGGTTAAGCGACTGCCTACGGCTCAGGTCATGATCCTGGAGTCCCGGGATCGAGTCCCGCATCGGGCTCCTTGCTCAGCAGGGAGTCTGCTTCTCCCTCTGACCCTCCTCCCACTCATGCTCTCTGTCTCTCATTCTCTCTCTCTCAAATAAATAAATAAATCTTAAAAAAAAAAAAAAAAAGCATAAGTCTTACTTTTCCCTTAAAGGCCCAGTTAAAATACTCGGCTTCCCTGAACAACATGGTATACATAAGAAGCAAGGCTTTAGGGGCAGTAGATCCAAGTTAAAATCCTGGTTCTTCCACTTCTAGATTGTATGACCTTGTGCAAGAGACCATGCTCTCTGGTATCAGTTTCTTCATCTTATTGGATTTCCTTTGCAAAGCTTTCCTCCGTGTTTTCCTATATATACCATCTAACTTTGCCGAAAGGGAACTTTTTTTAATACAAGCAGCTTCCCCTTTCCTAGACCTAAAAAAGCAGTCCAGATATAATATACTACAGAGTTTATTCTCAAATATCTGGGATTAAAGACAAGAAAATCATATTTATAATTGCTTCTACCTGGGAAATCTTCAAACATACAGGTAAAAGACTGGCTTCTGAGAAGGGGTAAAGGTAGGACTGAGTGGTATGTGGCAGCAGATAAAATGGTTCATCTGAGGTTGAGTTATTTAAAAGTTTATTTATTTATTTTAATTTTTTGGTAAAGATTTTATTTATTTGACAGAGAGAGACACAGCGAAAGAGGGAACACAACAGGCGGAGCGGGAGAGGGAGAAGCAGGCTCTCCTCTGAGCAGGGAGCCCGATGTGGGGCTCGATCCCAGGACCCTGGGATCATGACCTGAGCTGAAGGCAGACACTTAACAACTGAGCCACCCAGGTGCCCCTAAAAGTTTATTTATTTTAAAGTAATCTCTACACCCAAGGTGGGGCTCAAACTCACGACCCCAAGATCAAGTGTTGTACACTCTTCCAACTGAGCCAGCCAGGCACCCCAAGTTATTTAATTTTAAACTATCCTTTCTTTTCACCTTCAGAATTGCCTCACATACTCCCATTTCATGCAGTAATAAGCTTCCTTCCTCGTGGAGTCAATGAATCTTTAGCCCATCCAATTCAACAACAACAAAAAACAATTTCCCTTGATGCCTGTTAACGGCAGTGCATTACAAGCCTCAGAGACTCTGCCGATTAACATTAAGCAAAATAAAACCTCAAATAAGAGTACCTTCTAACCTTTTCCCTTTTGAAACTATCTAGTCAAAACTTCAGCAACTGACCTGTTAGGGTTGTTCCTCTAACTCATCCCCTACATGCTAGGCTTCAACCCTTTCGTGCCAATTATCCCCTTTCTTATACTGCTGTTCCTGTGACCACTCTTTTCAGGACCAGAGACACAAACATGTCATTTAAACCCTACTAGAGGGGCGCCTGGGTGGCTCAGTCATTAAGCGTCTGCCTTCGGCTCAGGTCATGATCCCAGGGTCC